TAAGAAATATTGGTAATGGCATCAGAATTGCTAAACTCTTATAAATTCCTGTTCATTATTATCAGACTGTCCTAAAAACTCACTGAAAAGCCTTTGATCCAAAACACCTGAGAGAGTACTGACTCACTTCACTGGATCCTGTTAAATTTAAAGTCCTTGTCCTCACACACACAAGGTCTTGAATAATCAGGCACCATGTTTTCTTAAAGACCTCATAGTACCGTATAAGCCCAATAGAGCACTCTGCTCTCAGTCTGATGGTTTACTAGGGCTTCCTGAGATATTTCAAAGTAAAAATGTAGTCTTCACCTTTCAGGACACTCTGTGGAACCAGCTCCCAGTTTGAATCCAGGAGATAGACACCCTTTCCTTTTTAGATTCGATTTAAACGTTCCTTTTTGACAAAGCATAGTAGTTTATATATATAGTGACTGTTTGTTGGGTCAGGTGAACATGAAATCTCTCTTAGTTATGCCCCAGAAAGTTGATTCTGTTCATCTGGACTTGGGGAGAAACGTTTCATCACTCATCTACATGACGTCTTCAGGGATCAAGAAACAGACCTACAGGCCACTGTTCTGCTGCTAGTTTCAGTCATTGTGCAAATGCATTGTTTACAAAGGTTGATTAAACCTGCAGTCAGCTGAGACTGAAGAAGTCAGTTGGATGAATGACGAAACGTTTCTCCCACTGAAAACGCTACGTCCAGATAAAGAGAATCAACTTTTGGGGATTTCCTGGATATTTATATTCCACTTAGCATTTCATTAGTTATTACTGATTTCTGGCTCTCTTCCACAGCATGTCTGTCAGGAAGGGCAGTGGCTCTCCGTCCATGAGCCCAGTTCTGCCAGAGGTTATCGTCTTGTGTTTGCTCATATGAGATCATCTGCTCATTGGGTTTATTACGGTCTCTACCTTAAACTTTAAAGCCCTTGAGGCCTTATATTGAATTGTATTAACTCACATTTAGCATCACAATCTAAAGATAAAATGTTTTTCCAGGAACATTTCATGTTTCCCATTTGAGCATCACTATCATTGGCTATACCATCATTCCAATAGCAAAACTGCCATTTTCATTCTGTGATTTTCAGTGAAAAAGTATTTGCCCCTTTCCTTCTGTTAGGATCTGCCCAGCTGACTTTGCAATCCGTTGCAGTGTGAAAGAGAGACGATTGAGAAGTATATTCATGAGAAGTATATTCAGGCCCACCTCATCTCTAGTGGGCGTAGGGTTGTTCTTTGTGGACAAAAAGGATAGGACTCTCAGGCCATTTATGGACTTCCTTAGATCACTGTAAAAAAAAAAAAAAGAAAGAAAGAAAGAAAGAAAAGAAATACCCACTGCCAGGAAACAGTTCTGCTTTCAAGCCCCTCCATCTTTACAAAGTTGACCTCAGTACCATTTAGTCAGAAGTGGAATTCAACACACCACTGGACTACTTTGAATACCTGGTGGTGCTTGTTGGGCTAACGAAACACTCCCCCACCATGTTTCATGTCCTAGTAACTGATGTCCTCGGACACTTTCTGAACATCTTTGTATTCAGCATGCTGCAGCAGTTAACTGAGATCCGTCTCTATGTGTTTCACACACCCTCAGTAACTTTTCTAAGTTGTGTTTTCAGAGGACTTAGAGGGGGTCGAGCAACATTTTGTAATATGGACTAACCATAGGAACTTGACTTATGTGCAGAACACCAAAGGCAGAATTCAGGCATGTTGGTCTCTGCTCTTTGGTTGTTCAGCTGCTCTGTTTCTTATCATCCAGGGTCAAGGAATATAAAGCCTGATGCCCCTTCCCATGAGTTTTCACCTGATAGAGATGATCTTAAGCCAGAGAGCGTTCTTGCATGCTCATACACAGTGGGGAGGATAATCCTGGGAGTTTAAGCTGGATCTTGTCACAGGCCTTCTTCCATAGATTCTCTAAATCAGGACATTTCATAGTTCCTTCTCTAAATTATCAAACTCCTGCCACTGAAACGTTTAATCTCCATCTTGAACATGTTTTCAGGCTCAATGGCATTCCTTTGGAGATTGTGTCAGACCGACAACCTGCTTCATATCCCAGTTATGGAAGGTTTTCCATTCACCTCTCGGAGCCAACCTGAGTTTTTTGCGGACAAACAGAAAGATTAAACCAAGAGTGGAAGGCAGACCTCCGCTGTGTTGGCTCAAGTAATGGACGGATGGATTGAATGTGCGCATAAGTCACTTACCTCATCTGCAACAGGTCTCTCTCCATTCAAAGTGCCCCTAGGTTACAAGCCTCGCATGTTTGTGGGCACAGACAAGAGCCCGCCTTCTCCACACAAATGAACAGAAAGGACGCCTCGCTGGCCTCCCTGCTACTCCCAAGGTGAGAGAAGGGTGGTTCTCCTGAAATCTCTTTCTAGGACTCTCCGCTGTAAAACTAAAATTTCTCCGTGTTTCTTCCAGTCCACTGCGCTCTCCAACCAACTGCGTACCTCCCGCCAGCTTGTATTCGATGGCAGCCTGCACACAGTGTTTGATGGATTGTGGATGTCTGGCATCGGGAGCATCCGTAGTTGATCGGGAGGAGTATGGTCCTGTTTAAAACTGCAATCCAATCAATTTTACACTCTGCTTATACATGAATACCCTCCAGTGTGGCTGAATTAAAATACTTCTGAAAAGAAGAACGGGGCAAACTTTCTCCACAGCGCTGTGAAAGACTGAATGCAAGATATTGCTAAAGATGCTGCTAAGGGTGGTAAAGCAGTTATTAGGTTTAGGGGGCAAATACTTTTTCACACAGGGCCAGGTAAGCTTGGATGGATTTTTCCCTTAAATAAAAGAATTATTTAAAAACTGAAAGTTGTCTCCTTTGGTTACCTTTTCTAATATTTACAATTTCTTAATGATCTGAAACATGTAAGTGTGACAAATAAGCAAAAAAAGTAACCAGGTAAGGAGCAAATACGTTTTACAGCAGTGTAGAGCAAAGGCCGTTACAACCTAATCATGTTGTGAAAGCGACACGAAATTCATAATTTTCAGGATATGAACTTGTCATGTACAAACCTAACATGTTTTTGTGAAAATTATCTCCTCAAAGAAAGCACTGTGAAGAAAATGAAGTCAATATGAAGCCATGATGAGCTGGTACTGATGTTTCCAAACGAGAAGGAATCAGTTCATCCAAAACTCACAAGAAGGAAGCTACAGGGAGAATTTCAAGGTTTGCTTCAGGAATTGAAGCTGTATCATCAGAATCAGAATCAGAATCAGAATACTTTATTAATCCCTGGGGGAAATTATTTTTTGTTTTGGCCACTTTCTTACATATCTTAGGATCTTACTGGGGCTGTTGCAGCTTTTTAGCTACCGAGTTTTGCCTCTGAGGAGGCAGTGAAATCACTTCAGACACAGAGCAGCATCTAGCTACTTGTCTCAGGTAAAATTGTATTATTCTACAATTTGTATATTCAGTACTGGTGTGCACATTGAGTCATGTGTGCACTTGCTCAGATCTGTTGATTAGGATCAGAAAAAATGATCAGACTACATGGTCAGTGTCGACGGCTGCTCAGGTGACGCTATTTAGTTGACTCAAAATATTTTTAATGCACACAGATGTTACACATCTGGTGTGTAAATGCCTGAACAATAGGTTTTATGATGTGCAGATGGGTTTCTTTATTCTCAGCATCTGGATCTCCTGCAAGGTGGCATACATTGTTGTGGTTGTATTTGTATTCAGTGTATTCAGTGGTTGTGTTTTCTTCATCAACAAAGGCTAGGGTGGCTGTGGGGTTCTGTGACTGTCTTACTGAATTCAAAATGTTCTGTCTACCTTCCTAGGTTGTAGTCAAAATCCTCGGCTGAAACACAAAACTGAGAGATGAAAACAGTCAAGGAGAAATAATTTTATGGAATGGAATCAGTTTTCAGGCCCTTCCTCTGTAGAACCAGCTTCCAGTTTGGATTAAGATCAGGCTTCAAACTTTCCTTTTTGCAAAAGCATATAGTTAGGGCTGCATCGGGTGACCCTGAATCCTCCCTTAGTTATGCTGCAATAGGTGTAGGCTGCTGGGGATTCCCATCATGCATTGAGCATTTCCTGTCACCTTTGTCACTGAACATGTATTAACAGACCTCTCTGCACTGAATCATATCTGTTATTAACCTCTGTCTCTCTTCCACAGCATGTCTTTATCCTGTCTTCCTTCTCTCACCCCAACCAATGACAGCAGATGGCCCCGCCCCTCACTGAGCCTGGTTCTGCCGGAGGTTTCTTCCTGTTAAAAGGGAGTTTTTCCTTCCCACTGTCGCCAAAGTGCTTGTTCATAGGGGGTCATATGATTGTTGGGTTTTTACCTTACAATATAAAGCGCCTTGAGGCGACTGTTGTTGTGATTTGGCGCTGTATAAATAAAACTGAACTGAATTGAATTGAATTAAATTGGAGGAATAATTAAACACAGAGCTTGTTTGCCACAGTTTGTCCAATAGCCTGCCTACATCTTCATGCCTATGTGGCAATTCTTTTTCCAGATCCATAAAGTTTTGCATTGGATTTTGACACCTCAAAATTATATTCCCATCTGGACTGACTGGGAAAAGCTTCACATCATGATTATGAGCTATTTTTATCCTCCTTATCAAGACTTGGTTTGGTGCTCATGACATTGGAAAAAAGGTCATCATCATAATTATCTGTGATAGAAAATGTAAATTCTGGAATTTTACAATGAATTTTATTCCACATATTCACATTTATATTAGCACTATCACGTTTAGTGTTGCTCAAACTGCAAATCTACGACATCACTGGTCAGTTACAGTTATTGTCTTAGAACAAATAATTTGATGTTGCTAGTTGAGCCATGTGCTTCAAAAGTCAAGATTCAAAACCAATGAACCATCATATGAATTAGACTTGTTGCCTCACAGCAACAAAAAAGTGTTTTGTGTGCGGTCCACGGTGAGAGTTCACTGTGGACCGCACTCTTTCTCCACTGATGTCTTACCGTCAGAGCGGTGGATGCAGGTATGCTGGTTGTCACTGAGGAAGAAGCCCTCTGTGCACATACACTCATAGCTCCCCATGGTGTTAACACACACTTGCTGGCATCCACCGTTGTTGTCCAGACACTCATCCACATCTGTTTGGATGGAGAGATACAGAGAGAGAGAGACATAAAGGGAAGTGAGCAAGATAAAGTCGGCCACGGCAGCGTGCTGGAATAACAGCCCATTAGACTTCATAAATAAACTTGTGTCAGTGAGAGTTTATGTGCCGGGAAATGTCTGATGAGACGGATGACACCAGAGTCAGGAATGCGAGGGCCACACGCACACGTGCACACACAGACTGGGAGAAAGGGCAGGCACGCTGTCCTAAGGGGCCGACCCTGGCACAGCGGGCGGCCGAACCAAACTTCAAGCACTGTAAAAGGGGGTGACAGGGGTGTGTTGGTGTGAGTGTCTGCATTGTGTCGTTGCATCTATGTGTGTGTTAGTGCACACTGGTGGTGCACGAGTGTGTTTATAGGGCCCGACTGTGCTGCTGAAAGGCCAGTAAATTTCCAATGGGGCATGTTGATGGGCCTGAAGTGAACTGGAAACATGTAACACCCTTGACTGACTTTAAGAGGGATCAAACAGGGCCACCCCTGTGTGTGTGTGTGTGTGTGTGTGTGTGTGTGTGTGTGTGTGTGTGTGTGTGTGTGTGTGTG